TGCTAGGAAATATTGGCTGGAGAATTCTGGGAGTTGAAGTCCACGCACCTGAAAGCTGCTAAGGTTGAGAAACACTGATTTAAGGAAACAAAGCTGCATGGTAGAACGAAGCGGGATGAGTAGGTTGACTAGAGACGGAGAAGGACATTCTCTTGGTACGGGTCTATGCAGATATAGGTCCATGTATATTGGGACTGTGCAAATTCTTCAAAAAGAAGTGTTTTGGAACCTAAGGGAGCTGGGGAAAATGTGAAATAGGGCAGGCACACATGGGAAGGAAGCCAACAGCAGTTTCTGAAGCAGCCATACCAGCGTGGAAAAAGATGAGGCCAGTTTAATTATTCAAAACGAGGTCCTTCCTATGGGATTTTTCATGTTTTGAGGTATGAATTGCAAAGAATTTGCACAGCCTGTATAAGTTATACACAAAATCTAGAGACCTTTTTGTAAATGGGACAGAAAGAACTTGGGTTTTAAAAAACTTGGAAATGGAGAGAGAATACAAAACCATCTAGATTCGTGAGGATTTTGCTTCCTTACACCTTGAAACTCTGGCTTGCAATTCCTCTGTATTCAGCCATGTTTCTAGTACTGAACTGTAATTTCAAAGTCTTCTTTCCTAACTCTTCTTTAATGGTTACACAGAAAATAGGACTGATGCGGTTCTCTTTGCTGGGAATAACTCTTACTTTCCGAATTTGGACATCATGGGGGAGTGAGAATGTTCTATTTCTTTAAAAAATAGATTAAAAGTAAGCCAACCTTCTCAAAACCCACTGGACATTTTGTGAATGAGAGGCAGAACGTTTTCTTTTTTTAACTCTGCAAGTGTGGAAGAAAACAAAACTGAAAAATGTGCTCCTATCTACCCGTGATTGGCATCTACTGCTTGTCTATCTAGCCCAGAATGCTGATAGGTAAGCATTTCCCCAACCTTAGCTGAAGATGATCGAAAGTGAACAAGAAATTTGCACCCAAACCAGATCCTTCCTATCTAGGTGAAAATCTAAGGTTGCACTTTCAGAGAAGTTCTAAAGGGATTCAGCTCTTTGGAGAGATAATGATCCTCTTTGGTGAGAGAGGAATCATTTCTGTTTTTCCATAAGGAAGGATCTGGGAATCATCATGTATGCCTGAATTTAGGGTACCGAATAACACTCTTCCTACCCCTCCCAAACTTTAAGCACTATAACAAAAACCTGGAAACGGAAGAGTCAAATTACAAACAAGAATTTAACTCTTTCTTTCTCCAGAACTTCCCCAAATGTACCGGATTCCAGCTGTTACACTCCAGGGTAGAAATCCATTGGCTTTACACGGCTGATGATTCTACTCCTACAAGCAAAAAAAAACAGAATGCATAATCATGCTGGCAATATGATGAAATCTTTTAAATGTACAAAACGTGGTTTATTTCATCCATTGCAAACTAGCATTTTTAACCAGGTTATAACAAAATTGCCACACAGCACTTGTCTTTCCAAAAGAAATATTAATACAAGGGAGGCTTTTTTTTTTTTTTTTAGAAAATTATATATACATAAGGTTTAGAATTATGTAACAAATCATGGGTTAAAATAATACTTATATTAATAGAAGCAGTTCTGGCTACATTATATACATATATCAGAATTAATACCATTATTTGTTTATGCTCAAACCTGAACAGGTCAAAAACGCCAATATATTTCGATCGTTCGCCTAGTCCCAGGTATAAAAGTACTTATTTCAGGATATGGGATATTACAAAAGAGTACGTAAGTTGCAAAGTAGGAATGTTCTATTTTCCATCACTTCATTGGATTTAAGAACCATCTTAAGCCGTTTTAGAGCAACTTTATGCAAATAATAAGTAAGGTTAATTTTTCCTTTTGAAGCATCACGGAGAATGATTTAGTCAGTTATTAACATCACTGTCAAAAAAAAAAAAGGAAAGCTGATGAGAGAAATGGAAGAATATATTTCTCAGAATTTCCCTCTGTGTAAGGGTGGGCTAACTATAAAAACATCAAGTCCAGTTTATTTTTATTAGCTTGAATGTATGGATCACTTTCAACATGCAGTGAGCTATCCATGATAATGCTCTTGATCTAGTACGAACATGGCCACTTGAAGATGTGTGGACTTCAACTCCCAGGATTCTCAGCCAGCACGGCTGAAGTTGAAGTCCATACATCTTCAACTGGAGTTGAAGTCCACACATCTTCAAGTGGCCAAGGTTGATCTAGTAGAAATAGACACAGAGATTGAGCAACTAGGGGGTAGGGAGGGAGAAGGCATCCAGATTGAGCATCCTGCCGACCTCAAGATGCACAGACCTACAAACCATCCAGAAGCAAGATGCTGGAGATTTCCAGAACTAAAATGCTATGGTCAAGGCCTACTTCCAGTGAAGCCAGCTACTCATGGGGAGTTCTATTTTGATGCTGTAGCCCTCCTGGCATGCTAGGGCAGGGATGTTCCACCAGCATCAGCTCTTGGGCTCCATCAAGCTCTGAGCACCACTTTCCCCAAGTCACTGAGGACTGAACCCAGTTTGGAAACAGGCTGCACAGATTTTAAGAGCTGAAACGGCTCTTTTAAGCATCTGCAAGGCCTAAAGCAGCCATTTTGCCCTCTAAGACCCTTCAAAGTGAGAAAGGGGAGCCATTGTTGGCCCTGCTCATTCTACCTCGCTCAAAAGGGATGCAAGGTAGGACGGCTACAGGCTGCATCTTCTGCTGCTTTCTCCCCTTGAATCCCTCCTTCAAAGGGCCAGAACAGGGAGAGGATGCCTCATGAATAACCCTGAGTGTTTCTGTCTTTCTTTGTAGGATCGCCTACCTCTCCGATGGAACACCAGCCAACCAAGTTAAACTTCTATCTTGTGGACTGTGAGGGGAAAATGGAGCAGTGTTTGCGGAGCTGTGGCTAAGAAGTGGAGCCCGTTGACGAGTTCTGAATTGGAGACAATGTGTAGAGCAGTGTTTCTCAACCTTGGCTGCTTTAAGCTGGGTGGACTTCAACTCC